TATAATAGGAACAAATCCACCGGTTTCGAACTCAACTCGAAAACGCTGGGGTCGGGCCAGAACCAACTCCACAAGCCAATCGGCAGTCAAGCCTTGCTACGGGACCTATGGCAACGGTAGGGCAAAACAAACCACACTCTGTGACTCGTTGGTGTTCTCTAGTTGGCTCCATCTACAGTTAACAAACCCCTAGATTAGTCAAACTAAATCTACAACATAGTTTCGGTCATTCGTTCCCTCATACTCGTAGAATTCTCTCCCTCTACAATATAAACTGAAATTCAATCGAGCCTTACATAGGCTACCCTCTTCATTACCTCCTGGTTGTCATATTGACTGTAGTCCCTGTAATATTACCACATTTACCCCACTATTGTACTCTCTTTTGTTAGTTAATAAATTCACCTTGAGCACAGTGATGTTGTGTGTGTGTGTGTGTGTTATTAAGAATCTAGAGTCCCTATACATAGAACTCGCCCTCAGATTTGAGATTGACTGATTGACTAGAGTTTACGATTTCAGTATAACTGAACCATTAACAACTAATTAATTACTAGAAATTCATGTAATTCTCAGGCCTAAAGCCTTGGGCGGACAAGCAAATCTTTAGGTGGTGCTCCTAGTTTCGAGGCATAAATTAATATTCCCGGAAGTATTCATTTTCATAACTGTATTAAAATTATACGTAGCCTAGATCTGCTACAACATGGTCAAGGAACGGGGTGGAGATCACAGAGGGGGGTATCGAACCTGCGTTACCGCCACAACAGTGATGGGACATTCCACAGAATTTCTACACTGAGTTTCACCCCTGGGGAGAAGGATGTTTACTCTTGTTCAGTGGAGCATCAAGCCTTACAACAGCCTCTCACCAGGAGCTGGGGTAAGACAAGGAGATCTAGTGTTTGTTTTTAAAATCTCTGTTATAAGTGTTATTATTAAGGGGGGATGCTGTTAAACTTATAAATACACGTCTCTCACACCAGAAAGGTTAGACAGAGAGAACTACACACAATACACCTGTTCTCTGCAGCTGCAGGTATGTTTTCTAACTAACAGTCTCCTCATTGCCTAAAATGAGAGAAAGATTGACTGTCAGACTGTCTTCCATGTAAGTCAGACGTTGTGGCTCTATAATAATGCAACCAGACTTCCTCCCTTGTGCCGATGGTCAAGAGAATTACTACAGCCGCTAGAGGGTTTTGTTACTTGAATGTAAACAAATGGTTCTTTGGTTATAAGCAGAAACAACTGATTTTGTTTCACTTGGAAGGATGGTCACTTTAGTTAGGAGACACATTTCTAACATCTAATTTACAAAAAACTAAAAAGAAAACCAAAAAAAACATATGTACTTTAGCAATGAGCTCACTTGTAGTTGTTCATTTCGGTGGGATGCACTCACAGTTGTTCATCTGGTGTTTTTATACACTTTCGGTAAGTCCCTTTGAAAAGCTTGTGCCAATTGAATGTAATGTAGCCTATATTTTGATTCAAAAGCCTACTGTTGGTTTGAACACACTTGACACATTTTGTGTCATAAAAATCCTGAAAAACTTTTTTTGATTCTTTTTGTTCCATCCACAGTGCCGATGGAGAGGAAGAGCAGCGTGAGTCCTGCATCTTGGTTCTTCGGTGCGAGCCTTGTTTTGTGCCTGTTTGGAATCGGGACCCGAGCCTTCTTTGGGGGTTTTTACTGAGAGCAGCTCAACCAGCATTCAGCTACGCGCTGTTTTTTTTTATAAATGCATGTCCTTTTTTTTTCAAACACAGATGCTGCTAGAATTTTTTTTTACCATTAACTGAACAGGTACCCAAAACAGGCAAGCCTCTTCTCCTCAATGAGAACCAAAACCTTTACATGAACTCATCATATTTTTCAAGCATGTTAGGCTACACAGATGTCTCATGTCTAGACCACTGGACTTCTCCCACTCATAGGAAAGGTGATCAAATGTTGACTGCGTTTCTTAAGTTTATATTCTTTTTTATTTTTGCCTGACTGATATTGTATTTATATTGTGTGGTTTTTAATAAAGATAGTGTTGGATTAGATGTTAGAGTTGTTATAGGACCAACAGTAGGTTTATGTTCTTGTAAGATGGTAGGATGATAACATAAATACATATAGACATCAATTTGGTAACATTTCTCCTTTACAGTTTGGTCAAAAATTGTAATTGATACAGTTAATCACTTGATGATTTACTGTAAAATACAGCAAACCTAGCATAATACAGTTTTTATTGTTGAAACAACAACAACACAATGTGGGATGAAAACCCACTTAAAAACAGAGAAAACATGCAGACTCCACACAGAGAGAACTGGACTCGGAGGAATTGCACAGCGGTCCTTCCTGCTATACGGCTGCAGCTCCAACCACTGAGCCACCATGCTTTACATAAACGACACACTACTTCCTGCATTGGAGCTAAATGTTGCCACTAGACACAGATTGTGGCATTCAGCATCATCCAATATGCCAATACAAAAATTTGCTATACCTACACACCTGTTGTTTTCATATTCTGAAGACACTTGGGCTAAGAAAATAAATCTAAGAATGATATCCAGGACAAAAAACTGTAACCTTAATCTAGAAGCTGGCAATAGCAAAGATTTAATTTTTCCCTCCATTATATTTGTTTCATTTTGAAGTGGGGCAGATACTGTTGTTGCAATTTTCTTATGACATAGTTAACATCTGATCTGCTATGGTGGCCGAATACGTCTACTGCGAACAAACATGATACAGGGAACAACCAGAATAGGTCCAACGCTGCTAGAATGCCCCACAACCTGGTACAGACTGCTGGATGGCAAAGAGAGTGATGCTTCTGCTTGTCATCTTTTGGTTGATCACACTGCACTTTTGTTGGGCGTGTTAGCCACTGCAGACCTCTGGCTGTTTTTTTTGTGTATAGTTTGTTATGCTGAGTGGGCACTTTGGGGCAAATGACAAGGTCGAGATGGATAAAAGTGTAGAGAAAAAAATTCTGAATGAGTTTGACAAAATGGATAGATGTCTTCGAGTAGGAGCCCACTAGTGTTATTTTATTATCAAATGAATGAAACTCCCGTATAGTGGCATAAGTCAGTCCTGCTCATTGATCCAAACATTTAACATGCAATCGTGATTATTTTTGACTTTTCTTCTTGCAAAATACTGAATACTTAATTTCCCCAAAAGCTTTCATGTCCACACTAAAGCTATAACATGTGATGAGGAGTCAGAAGTGGATATTGCTTTACTTTAATGGGTCACAAGCGAAATGCTTGGGAACCACTGTTTTAATACACCCAGGATTATTAAAGGCATAGCTGACACTATAAATGGTATAGGAAAATCCGACAGTTATGATTTTTATATAATTATATAAGCCAACCCAATTGTCAGTTATGTTTGTTATGCAAATTATTTCCGGGAACTAGATCTATAATTTTTGTATTTTTTTTGATTGTTTTTTTTTTTTCAATAAAAAAGTGTTTTATGTTGTGTGCTACTGAGCAGTTTTCGCTCTGTAGATGAAATTACCTGAGGTAGTTGCACCTTCAAACATTTAGCTTGGGATCGCATGTAGGCATTGCTTTGTTTTAATCACTTGGAAGTAAAAAATATATATTGAGACCCACAGACGAAGAAAACGTTAAATATATTACCAGTTAGTATAACGCTGGAAGTACTGGCCATGTAAATTCAGAGTGAACTGAACTTGCTTTCACCAATTACAGAAAGTTGTAGAATAGAATTGTAGAACCAACCCTTTTTCCTGCAGTGTTTAAAATAATTATCTCTACAGCTAAATGGTGAAAGGTGAACAAGTTGCTTCACATAAGCATCTTCTTCGTAATACTTGCTGTTTTTAAGCCACACTATAAGTGTTGATTTACAGCTGAGTCATCTTAAACCTGGTGATTCCAGCCTGGTTTAGTGTCTACATTAAATTCCCAGGCATTTGTTATTGGAGTCTTCTCCATGGTTGAAAGGTCTAATCACTGAAATAAAGCTGGTCGGTTTCACCTCAGTCTGGCTCAATCCCCCAGCCAGTACATGAGATGGTCAATTCATCACTTATCAATTTAAAGTTGCTTTTGGACCATTACTTTGCCAAACTGTGGTTGAAGACATCTGCTTCTAAGCTAATTTAGCCTGGCTTGTAATGGTATAGTAGCTTGTAATGTTAACAACCCTTCAGAAACGGCGGTTATATCGTGAGCTTCTATAGATATTTGGGGCTGACGAAAAGCAACTTTAACTCTAAACAGAAGACACACTGGGAGAGCTTCTTGCATTGTTCTACACTAGCTGCAACACAAGTACCCACACAGTGATTCTATAGTGGCAAACATGTTCGTAAGAGTGAAAAGCCAGCTGTCATAGAGAGGGAAGAGACGCGATGTTGTTTGAAAATGTGTGCCTTCATCCTCCTATTCAGAAAGTTTCTCCTGGAATACATTTACTGAGTTGCGCTCAGACAGTTGTCATTTCATGATGCTTTATCATCTGTTAATTTAAAAAAAATATTTGTACACAAACCCAGAGTGCTTCTCACCTCGTCACAGCTGACCGATCCTGGCTTGAAGGGTGTGAATGTCAGATTTTGGGTTTCAGACAGTTACAGAAATGGTGGGACACAGTCGTTGCTACTTTTTAATCATCAAAAAGGTCTTGGGGGAGTGGGTTTCCAAAGCTATTCAACTATCTGAAGAAGCATACCGACCGCCAGCTTCCATGCCTTCCCACTGGAGACTGTGAAGCCCATCTGTAGCTGCTCATGACTGTCGCTAACCACTCCAGTTAACACTGAGGGGTTAAAGTCAGCCAGTGGTCCTTATGTGTCAGTGTTCTATTAAGCAAAGGCTGCAGTGCAAAGGCAATAATGTAGTGTAGTCAAGGTTTCAATTTACTTGTGCCCTGACAGGTTTATTTGTGTGTTACTCTGCTATTGCCGTATAAATACAAAATCTACTGGCCTGTTTTATTTTTCTGTTTATGAACCCTTCTGGTCGCCTGTCTGTTTCAGAATCTGCTCGACAAATTCCTCATTCCCAATGCATCTCAGGCGGAGAGCAAGGTGTTCTACCTCAAAATGAAAGGAGACTACTTCAGATACCTGTCGGAGGTGGCTTCTGGGGACTCAAAGAAGGGTGAGTTTCTGGGTCAATTTTCTCACTGTTCTTTAACTCTGACTTTGTTACGGAAATGAGCAAGGCTTTCTTCCCTTATTAAAGGGGGAGCAAGATAATGTAGTTGAACTACAGTGCAGCTGCCCTGGTGTTCAGTGGGATTCAATGTCTTGCCAATGGATAGTTGAGCAGAAGGATGTTTTTGACTCGGGGGCGGGGGGCTTGAACCCAGGGAGGATTTACCCAGTGTGGCACTGAGCTAATCGGAGCCTAACAGAGTGTCGGTTTTATTGCTCAAACAAAAGTCAGTTGCTGTTTGCTGTGCTGTTCAGAGTAAATACTCTCTAGTAAATACTAAACATTTTTACTGCTTGCAATAAAGACCATTTTATTGCTTAGAGCTAGAAGTTCCCTTTTAAGTAGTTATCCACTGATGCTGCTGTTGAGTCTGCACCAACCATCATCACTGGTAGATGTAAATTCTGCAAATATACAGTGGAAATCAGGGGCAAAATAATATATTGTACCCAGCCCTGACTCTGTAAATTGGACCATGCCACAACACCATTCCAGCCATGATTTATGTGTCAGGTAATGTTAAATGACTTAACCACAGACATTCAGCTTACTTTCTAGTTCAACAATACATGATGTTGTAGCTATAGCAGCAAGAGAGTTGTGAGTATCACTGTCTGGAGCTGGTGTGCTATGCTCTGGGACTGTCTCATCCTCTCTGCATGTTTGCTTCGCAGCAGCAACTGTAGCCACAGTTTGTTAACCCACAACTTCGCTAATGCTAGTTACTTGTGGTGACTTTGTTTGCTATCATGGTATTTGTCATGATACTGGATTTCTATTAAATCGTATACCCCATCTTAAAGGTTCAATGTGTAAGTTTTGGTGGTAAGGGTTGTGAATACAACCAACAACTTACTCACCCCTCCCTTTGCAAATGCGTAGGAAAAGCACACGCTCTGTTGGCTCTTACGTACTAAATAATACGTGTGGAGCTCCATTTGTCCTAATTTCTCTAAACTTCTTACTTCTAACAAACCAGACGACCACTTCTTCTTCCTCCTTCTTCTTTGTTTGTATTCAATGTAGTGACGAAACGCCCTCTGTAGAGCGGCTTGTCTGTTAAGGCTCATGTAGAAACATGGCAACTTCCATGCATATGTAGATAGAAATGTCTCATTCTAAGGTAATAAAAACACAACGGTTCATTATGTAAAGTCTGTATACACCACTGAAAACATAGTTATATAAATTGCATTTCTGACAACATAAATATTACACATTGAACCTTAAGAGGAGTATTTTCAATTCACATACCCGTTTTGAATGTTCTTATGTACTGTAAACGAATAAGGCAGTTACTGAAAAGATTTCTTTCTCTAGCAGTCTCTAAACTGCATTTAAATTGCTTGAAGGCACAAACTGAGAGAAATACTTGAGAAAAATTCAGCCTTTTATCATAATCCCAGATGGTTTAGGAAATGAAAAAGAATAAAAATTTGTATCATTTTGTTTGTCCTCAGTAAAGTGAAAAGATGGCAGAGAGGGGTTAGAGGATGCATGAAGCATCAGGGTTTATAGGAACAATCTCAGTCATGTCATTTGTTCACATTGGTCATACTGAGGTTTTTCAAGTCGGTGACTCAAATGTTCACATACAAATCATTAGAGATTACAGAAAAATACATAATTATTTCACCAATTGCTGTAAAATATATTTTTTTGCTAAAACTCCTGTTAACGGTACAGACTAATTCAGTCCGTTGCCAAGAGACAGTAACACATAATGCGTTGTTGATGGGGTTATCAATCATCTGACTCTGGTTGTCATGGCAATAAGCCAGTGCACCCATTGTAGAGATGGGGACAAAGTTAGCACTCAACTCTCTCTACTGGGTTTACTGGCGGCAGATTGACCCTGACGTGCACCAATTCTTATAAAACAGAGTTTTCATACGGTAAATTCTACCGTGGAACTAACTCCAGGTTTGTTATTGGATAGGATTTTTGTTTTGCCATGCTAGCGACAGGGCTCTAGTCCCGCTTGTTCAGTCCATGGCTGTCCAAACTGAAATATCTCAACAAATTATTGGGCTGATTGCCATGACCACCAGCTAGTCAAATTCTCAACTCAATTTTTCCACATCCACGAGACAAATTTCGCACAAAATCTGGTACAGACGTTCATGATCCCTCAGGATGAATTTAATTTTTATACCTGTAAAAGATGTCTATGAAGATTCTCAGTCATCCAGGTCATAGTTATCCAACGAAGGTTAAAATCAAGGGCAACTGGACTTGGTTGAAGATACTGGAAGACGTTTCGTCCCTCATCCAAAGGACTTCTTCAGTTCTGACTGACTGGCAGGGAAACTCAGCTATTTAACCTCAGTGGGGTCGTTATCCCGGGTCATCGATACCGCTGGTTCGTTAGTGTTCCTTGTTGCTGTGACGACAGTCGTTACAGTCGTTAAGACTACCTGTGGCCAAGACTGAACGACCATCGTTGGTATCTTCACCTGAGGTCAATAGGTTACGTTTGTTGAGTTTCCTGGGAAGTGATGAAAGGACAGCATTGTAAGTGGGGGATAAGTGGTGGCGTAGACCCCCTCCCCTGTTCAATGACGGCTTCTCAACCCTGGTGTAGATGGCTTCCTTGACACCTCTAAACAACCACTACACAAACGCATGGCTCAACACAGAAGGGCCAACTCCTCAGGTCAAGACTCTGCAGTCTACTTACATCTGAAGGACAGAGGACACTCGTTTGAGGACCACCAGGTGCACATTTTAGACAGAGAAGATGGATGGTTTGAAAGAGTAAAACTGTAAAACTGACATTGCCATCAGCCTCAGCTGTACTTTGTAGTATTAAGGCTAATTAGCATGCTAACAATGTGGTTGGTTGCTGCTGTCAGCGGTCAGTACTCCCTGCAGGTCACAGTAAACAGGGTCCCCATTGAAAGGCAGTCCCCTTTGTACTAGGTTTGTTGATTTAAGTAATTGAGATAAATGTTCAGGATCCAGCATGTAGTGACTGGTGGTTATTTGTTTTGTAAAGACACGGTGGAGAACTCTCAGCAGGCCTACCAGCAAGCCTTCGACATCAGCAAGAAGGACATGCAGCCAACGCACCCTATCTGGCTGGGCTTGGCCCTCAACTTCTCCGTCTTCTACTATGAAATCCTCAACTCGCCCGAGCAGGCCTGCGCTCTGGCCAAGCAGGTAGGTGCATAACACTGTTTGTTTATGTAAGAGCACTGAATTTTAATGTTTTATGGTAGTACAGGTTCTGTGGAAGAGGGGACAGGTGGCCACTCTTCCACAGAACAGTCTGCCAGTTAACAGTCAAGATGGAGCAGTGTCTCACCAGCTGCTGAACTGTCAGAAATCAAAACCATAAAACCACAACTAAGGAGATTGAGAAAGGCGCAGTTCAAATAGGCAGGCTGTGCCCACGGTCAGGACGTCTCTTTGTGAAAGTGGAATGTCACACTACCTGACAGAACCGCTCGAGTTGAGTGAGTAATAACAAAAGTCAAGCAGCTCTGGAATGAAAGCTTAAACAGGAACCCAACTTGATTGAACAATAACAATTAATAATAATAAGTGTAATTTAAAAATAGCTAAAAGAGCTGCTACAAATTACAAACGCCCTTTTTATTCAAGAACACCCAAAAGAGCAAACATAGAAATGGAAGAGAACATTTTCAGATAGTTGCATCTGTGAACCTCTCTGTTCCTCCCTGCAGGCTTTCGATGAGGCAATCGCCGAGCTCGACACCTTGAACGAGGACTCCTACAAAGACAGCACGCTGATCATGCAGCTACTAATAATAATAATAATAATCCTTATTTGTAGAGCACTTTTCAAAAACAAGTTACAAAGTGCTTTAACAAGTGTAAAGAATAATACAAAAAAGATAAGAGCATGAAAATTTAATATAAAATTAGTAAAATACAATAAAATAAAAGGGATAAAATAAAGTCAAATAAGATCGGGAAAAGCTCTCCTATAAAAGTATGTTTTAAGAAGGGACTTAAAAGAGTTCACCGACTCAGCCGACCTGATTTCCTCGGGCAGGCTGTTCCAGAGCCTCGGGGCCCTGACAGCAAACGCTCTGTCCCCTTTAGTTTTCAGTCGAGACTCTGGAACAGACAACAGACCTCTGCCCGAGGATCTCAAGGTACGTGCTGGTGCGTATGGGACTAAAAGGTCAGAAATATAACAAGGTGAGAGGCCATGAAGAGCTTTAAAAGTGATCAATAGAATTTTAAAGTCAATTCTAAAACATACTGGGAGCCAGTGTAATGAAGCTAAAATAGGAGTAATGTGGTCATATTTCTTTGTTCTGGTTAAAAGCCTGGCAGCTGAGTTCTGGACAGTCTGGAGTCGATCAATAGATTTTTGGGTTAAACAGGTGAAAAGGCTGTTGCAATAATCCAGGCGTGATGAGATGAAGGCGTGTAAAATGGTGTCCTTAAAAGTTAACATAGATCGAATTTTAGCTATATTTCTAAGTTGATAAAAACATGATTGAACAAGCTTTGTGGTGTGCTGCTCGAAATTTAAATTACTATCAAACCAAACACCAAGGTTCTTTGCCACAGGCTTAATGTGATTTACTAGGGAACCAGCAGATGGCAGTATTTGATTTGCCAGCGAAGAAACGGTACTGGAGGAACTCCAGTATCACAATTACCGAGCAGGTAACTGGGTCCACCGCCCATTCTCTGCACCAGGTGGTGAACACATTCCACTTTAGGCCATACATCCTTCACATGGACGCGGCCTTGGCCACGTCTGCACCATGGCATCCAGCCCTAGCGGGAGTGGAGTCTCCATTCCACAGGCCTCAGCCCCTGTCTCGACAGCAGGTCTGCTCCTTGATTCTGGGTCCCAGGGATGTACATTGCTCTAAGGGATAGCAGTCTCTGCTGGGACCACAGGAGGATCTGATGTGCCAGTCTGCATAACGGGCGCCAGCGCAGACCCCCCCTGGTGATTCAAATAGGCCACCACTGCCGTATTGTCAGTTCTGACAAGGATGTGGCGACCACGGAGGGCGGGCAGAAAACTCTTCAGAGCTCTGAAAACCGCCAACATTTCCAGGCAATTTATGTGCCAAGAGAAATGATGCTCCTCCCAGGAGTTTCTCGCGAAGCGGCCGTCCATGACCGTGCCCCATCCCGTGAGTGAGGCGTCTGTAGAAATAATTGTTCGGCGACAGATCGCTCCCAACACGGGACCTTGGGACAGGAACCAAGATTTCATCCATACAGACAGGGAACGAAGGCACCCGCTCGTAAACCGTATCAGACGGAGCGGATTTCCCCTCGGGGAGAATCCCTTGGATTTTAGCCACCACTGCAGGGCTCTGATGTGCAGTAGCCCGGAAGGTATTATACTGGATGCTGCTACCAGGAGACCCAACAACCTCTGAAAGTGTTTTACAGTGATGGCGTAGCCTAACTGCACTCTGGCCACTGTGGACAAAATGGACTTGACGCGTGCGGGAGACAGGTGGGCCCGCATCGTCATTGAGTCCCATACCACCCCTAGGAACGTAGTCCGTTGGGCGGGTGTCAGCATGCTCTTCTTGGCATTGAGCCGCAGCCCCAAACACTGAAGGTGGGCGTGGACGACATCTCGATGCCGAACCGCTAACTCTCGAGACTGGGCCAGGACGAGCCAGTCGTCGATGTAGTTCATTATGCGGATGCCCTGGAGCCTCAACAGGGCCAGAGCTGCATTTGCATTTGCATCCATGCATTTGATGAACGTGCGGGAAGAGAGTGCTAGGCCGAACGGAAGAACCCGATACTGGTAAGCCGTGCCCCTGAAGGCGAACCTCAAGAACTTCCTGTGAGAGGGACGGATGGAGATGTGGAAATAAGCGTCTTGCAGATCTATTGTGACAAACAAATCCTCGGATTGGATGTGACTGATGATGGCGGGGATGGTAAGCATCCTGAACCTGAATCTCCTCAGAGATTGGTTCAGCGACCGCAGATGCAAAATCAATCAATCCTCCGTCCTTCTTGGGAACCAGGAAGTATCGGCTGTAGAAGCCGGCTTCTCTGACCGGCGGGGAAATGAGTTCTATGGCCCCTTTCCTTAGCAGAGAGCGGACTTCCTGTCGCAACACCTGGCTCTGTTCTGCGTGTACTGCAGTCCCGACCATCCCGCAGAATCTGGGGGGTTGAACCCGGAACTGCAGCCTGTAGCCATCCACTACTGTGCGCAGGACCCACGGGGAAATGTTCGCGAGGCTCCGCCAAGCTTCCGTGAAAATCCACCAAAGCCGCCATGGATTGGCCGATGGAACGGGCCGTTTCCTTGGTCACACGGAGAGCTAAGTCCGTCGCTCTACGGAGCTCAGTCAGGTCCTCCTCAGAGGGACCTCCCCCTACGTCACAGTCCCGAAGGAGATCGGCCTGGTATGCCTGCAAGACAGCCATCGTGTGCAGGCTAGCACCAGCTCAACCCGCTGCCATGTAGGTCTTGCCCACCAAATCGGACGTCATCCGACACGGTTTGGTGGGGAGGACCGGTGTCCGGAGGGATGAGGCGAGTTTGGGAGAGAGGTAGCTAGCCAGCCGTGGCATCGCTGCGTAGCCGTGCTGTCTGATCTCCGTCATGTTGCCGTAGTCCAGCCGGGGGGACGTAGACAGCTGTGCAGAGAAAGGTTTGTTCCACAATCTACACAACTCGTTGTGGAAAAAATGGTAAGGGCCGACGCGGGGGTGAACAACATACTTTCCCCCGTTTTTACCCTCCTTGTTTAATCTTTCTCTTCCATTCCTTCTGTTCTTACCTCACTCCTCTTCCCTCCTTCCTAACATCTCAGTATGTTCTCGCACCCTCTTCCCTCTTGCTGTGTTTGAACAGCAGTGCAATTCTGCTGAGGTCTATACAGAAGGGTCCTCCTACAGGGCTGTATTGTGACACTGACAAATTTAAAAACAACAAACAAAAGTGTTCTACCTGCTGTGTAATCAAACACTCATTGTTTTCTATTTTGTTTTCTAACCATGACCCGAGTTTTATTTGACATCATTCTACATATTTCATAGTTCAGAGCTAAAACTTCAGTTCAGAGCTAAAACTGAGCTAAAATGATTAAAAGCTTTAAAAAACCAAAAGCATACATTCCATCTTAATGTTTGAGAAGATTTGACATTTTCACAACAAATTGGGACCTACCTGCTTCCTTGGATCCACCTCCTGTCAAGGTGCTGTCAAACATCAGTAAATTCCTAAGGTTGTTCATTTCCCTTTTGCGATTGCTTTTCTCTTTTTTTTTTGGGGTGTGTGTGTGTATAACCAAATCCCTTCAAAACCCTTCTTTCCGGTTTTTGAAAACTGTAAAACATTTTTAGAGCTTAACTGTAAATCTGTCTTTTGGAAAACTAAACGGTTTGTCGATGTTGTCCGTTAACACCTGCTTGCAATGAAAACCTTGAAGTTACAGTCAGCTGCTGTTTTATGCTTTGGCATTTTTGACAATCTTATTTTTGGTACTTTTCCCCCCCTCTTCCTCCCCCAACCTCTTACTCCCCTTAATTGCTTGCACTGACAAGTCTAGAATATAAAGTCCACTTGCTGCTGAATGGTGTGATCTGCCAACAAAAATGCATGTCGTCATCGCCATGTAAATCAATTCACAAGCATCAAGTGGGGAATTGTACCTTCTGAAAATTAACACTTAAACTTCCTGCTTCCTCATTTCCAAACTATAAACTGTTTTTCCAGTGACCTGATTGAAAGACTTGTCAAACTCAGAGAAAGGTGTAACCAAAACCATCAGTTCGATTCAGTACTTTTTGCAAACTGTGGCCTTTTTTGGTCAAATCCAGCTAACTTATATAAACAGTCAATCTCACGTCAGGGAAAAAAAGAAGGAAGCAGTGATTTTAAGTTTTGCCGTTGGTGCAGTTTCGGTCCACAACAGGTACGTGCGTTAAAAGAGCCAAATCTCCCGGCAGCCGATCAGCCAATCATCTGTGGAAGTGAGAACCTGTAGTTTGGATCACGGTTAATGTATTCAGGCTAGAGCTGATAAACATACTTGCGTGTTGAGTTGACCTTTGGATTATCTATCGAATGCATTTAGAAAAGAGAGACCACTCGATCAACGGTACATTTTCGGGTTTATTTTCGGATCGGATCTTTTCCAGTGTGAATATTTGAACTGGCAGAAATTGGGCTTCTTGAGAATTCTCATTTTAGACTACGCCCCGTCAGTAGCAAGATGTTCAAAAGCAATTCAAATTCCTAAAATCTTGTCCCAAATTTTAAGAAATATCATTAACTTTTTCTTCCAAAGTAGAAATAGTACAATTTTTATTTCTTCTCCACTCAGTGTCAAAATAACCTTGTCATTACCATTTCGACATTCCACTCTACAGGTGTAGAAAAGTCATGTGTCTGTTTTTTTTTTAAGAAAAAGGCAGTTATTCTACGCTTTATAAGGGAAAAAATGATGTGGAGTAGTGAATGTGGCACCGAGCCTGTCTATATATCTGGTATCTCAAATCATTTTGTTTTTACTGACCAGTATTCTGCTTAAAATAAAAATGGGAGAAAAAAAACAAACCAAAAAAACAACAAAAAAGTTTGCTTCTGTGACGGTTTTATTGCTTAGCGCGCACGTGGTTGTGAAAATTTAGACTTAGCTTAAGGACATCAATAAAAAATGAGAAAATGACACAAAAAAATCCCTCAACACCTCCCCCTCCCCACCGTGGTTGATGTAATACTAGATTTGTGTATGTCTTTTAAAAAAAATTCCAACTAGTTTCACCTTACATGTTATAAACAGGACAA